GCTCGAGGGCCACCTCTATTCCAGGGGGCCCGGACTCGAGGGCCACCAGCAACTCCCCGAGGCCTCCCACGGGCCCCGCCACTTCGACCACCTCCATCCGGGGGAGCCCAGACTCGACGGCCACCCCGATGCCGCCTCCAGCCTCCGGGGCCCACGCCCCCGCCACGCGCACGGGGCTCTCCTGGCCACCTGGGGCCCCGCCTGTATCCCCGGAGGCGGACATGGCACTGAGCAATACCTCGCTGGGGCGGCGACCAGGCCGAGGCGACGCCAACGGCAAAGATGGTGGCCCCCGAGGGGGCTGCCGCAGACTGGAGGCCGTGGGCAGCGGGGCCCGACGCGAGGTGGACTGGGCGGCCGAGGAGCAGGCCACGGAGGGGAGGACAGTCTGTGGCGGTGCCTGAGGAGGCCCGCGACGGGAAGGGAAGGGGGTGGATGTCACCAGCGGCCCACCCAGCCCTCCGCTCAGGTGACAGCGGACAGGACTACAAAGGTCCCCCTAGAACCGTGACTGGGGGCGGGGACAGAAGCTTCAACAATGGGCCGCGGCCCACTGCTGGACCTCCAGGCTCATTTGTCGAGAAGCAAGGATTGACATGCTCAGCCTCCAATGAGTGACCAAGGCCCTTGGGTTCTAGGGTTGCTCATGGTTACCTCCCTGTTCTTCGAGGCCTGAGGGTCCTCCACGACTCTCAGGTCCACACGACTCCTGTCCCTTTAATTTTACCAGTGTCTGAAAAAGTATAGTGGTCCAATACAGAGACACCTTGGGCCATGTGAATTGCAAGGTGTTCCCCGATTTCCACTTGATAATGGCTCATGCAACTAGGGACAGGGTCATAAAAATGGTGTACAGCTCAGACTTCAGCAGTAGTAAAAATCTCCCAAGAAGAGAGAAAGAAGTGGGACAATTTAACATGGTTAAAGCTACTTGGAAAAGAATAGACAAAATTGACATGGGTGCAGTCAGAACTGAGTATTGAAGAAGTGGTGAATGAGAGGAGTTAGAAGGTATATAATGAACCCTGACAAATTTAAGCCTTCAAAGAATGAACAAAAAAGAGATACTTCTTTTAAAGGACCAGGTCATCTCCTAAGAGCTAATAAGCCTGACAGACTTTAAAAGAGCAGCCTTCCTAGGATGTTTCTGAAGCAACAGTCCAAGTCTTTTTTTTTTTTAAGATTTTATTTATTTATTTGACAGAGAGAGACAGCAAGAGCAGGAACACAAGCAGGAGGAGTGGGAGAGGGAGAAACAGGCCTCCCGCCAAGCAGGGAGCCCGATGCGGGGCTTGATCCCAGGACCCCGGGATCATGACCCCAGCCGAAGGCAGACGTTTAAGGACTGAGCCACCCAGGTGCCCCCCAAGTCTTTTTATTGATTTCAAAATCTACTTAATCAAGACCTCAAGTGTAATTCTGAAAATTATGCAGAAATTAACTGCTATTTCATACTCATTCTGTTAAAAAAAAGTTTTATAATACTAAAAATGTCTTTTGAAAAAACATAGCAAATAATATTTGGATATTTAATACCAATAAATCCTGTCAAAGTGAGGAGGGATGTTTTCCTTTCATCAACCCAACAAAATTTTACTGTTTTTATTTTTTATTTTTCCACCACAATAATAGAGCATGGTGCTATCAAAAGACGTTGGTTTAAATCTGGAAGGCAATGTAGAAAATCTCTAATTTGTAATCCTCACTATAAAGAGAGCAAAACTGAGGTAGAATCCCAATCTGAGGTCTAGAGTTGGTTTTAACATTTAGCCACTGATGTGATTGTAGGAAAATTATCATTTCTATGCCTCAGTTTATCATTTTTGAAGGGAGAGTAATAATTAGCTATCTTACAGTGTTGCTCTAAGAATCAAACAAGATAATGGGGTAATGCTCTTTTTCATACTGTGATATGTTATATACACATAAGGTATTATTATGTCAATAATAATCTTTCCATTCTTCAACTACTGGAGAGAAGCTATTGAGTAGTTTCTCAGGCCTTCAGAGAGAATCATCTAATTTGGTTTTGGAGGAATCCGTTGTTCCCAGCTAATGCACTTACACACTTCCTCCCTGGCTGAGATCATAACCTGGCTTTAGTAAAGATTTGAGTAAAATAGGTAGATGGAATGAGATGGGATTATATTTAGGATATTAACCATTTGTTGAAAATATGTTCTTAGTTTGATTTTGTCTTCTAAGTTGGTTAATATTTCTAAGTATGTAGTTTTTCATTTTTATGTTACAAAATCTAATAATATTATTTTCATGGTTTTAACATCATAAATTTGCAAATCTTTTCTCATCCAGAGATAAATTTTATATTTTCTTCCTTTTGGAGGTCTTCTTAATGTTTACATTTAACTCCTTAATCCATTTGGAATTAATACTGACACATAGTATAAGGTTAAAATATCAGTTATCTTTAATTTTAAACAGCTCACCTATAGCACCATTTGTTGAGTAATTACTCCACTCTATAATGATGTGTGGCCATGTATCCTTTAGCACTTTCCATAAATGTAGAAGAGATGCAAGAGAAAATGCATATTCTTCCAAAATTTCAGAGCTGGAAAGGCTTTTAGATATTGAAGCTAACCATTCTTTTTTAAATGTGGAAACTAAGGCCCAGAGCAGCTAACTAGCTTCCCCAAGGTCTTGCAACTTAATGGAGGAGCCAGGACTAAAACCAGTCTCCTGACCTTCAATCTGAAGTTGAAATAGGCCTACTTCTTATATGTGCTGCTTCGGGAGAAACTTGACAGCAGAAGGTTAATTAACCAGGCACAAAGTAAATGGCCAAGAGTTGAGGCTCTCTGAAAGTTCCAGACCAGCACTCCTGATCTCTAGTCAATAAGCAAGTATTTACTAAACAACTACATATAATGTCCCATGTAAGACCTTGCCAGGGATGGAGAAGCAAGGGCCATCATCTCTGGTGGCATATCATAGTCTAGTTGGGAGAAAGGACTGCATGTTGGAAAAAAAAAAAGAGCAGCCCCTGACATTCAGAGCTGGACTGGCACCCATGCTAGGCCTTTTTATTCTCCTATTGGACATAAACAATGTCATAGAACACCAACATCAGACAAGGGCATTCAGCGACCATGATGAAAGGAGGCAAAGCAAGGCCACTTTGTAATTTTACTTAAGCAGGGACAAAAACAAGGTCACAAAATACTAAACATCTTCCTCTCTTGGCTAAAATGAGTGTCTACCACTTCTTTACCAATTATAATTTTATCCTGATTCTAGTCTCCCCTCCCTATAGATAAGATTTTTTGTAATACCCATCATAGAACTGTCCCTACTTTGGGCGCCTGGGTGGCTCAGATGGTTAAGCGTCTGCCTTCGGCTCAGGTCACGATCCCAGGGTCCTGGGATTGAGTCCCACATCGGGCTCCCTGCTCCTTGGGAGCCTGCTTCTCCCTCTGCTTCTCTCTCTCTCTCTCTCTCTCCCTCCCCCCCTCTCTCCTTCTGTCTCTCATGAATAAATGAATAAATTCTTTAAAAAAAAAAACTGTCCCTACTTTGTAATAGCATCTAATCTGGAGCAAACCCCTGTTTCCTTCAAAACTTCCCCAAATAATCAAACCCAAACCCAATGCTTATAGTAGGTTCTTTACCCAACTTGTTCAACTACTGGTATGTTCCTTTGGTCTTAGGCTGGAGGATATTGACGATGTAAAACATTTCTGTCTTTACACTTATATATTGACTCAGCCAAGTGAGTCAGGAGGCCTCACAATTGGTGGGCTTTTCTCAGAAAAAGCTTCCCAGAGGAGGGAGGACTTGGATTCAAAAGATGGGCATGATGTCCTGACTGAGAAGGACAGTAAAGGCAGGACATGGTCTCCACATGGCCCTTGTTGAGATGCACTCACAACCTCGGAGGGTTATGGGCTATAAGAAGAGCCTGAGCCTTGGGGTACGGGAAAGGAAACAGATGTTGCTCCTGGCCAGGGGGCAGACTTAGATGACCTTCCATGTGACCGAAGCCCCGAGGTGAGGAAGGTGCCAGATAGGACACTCCCATTTCCTACCACATGCTCTGACCAGGGCTGCCCCCACTCTTCCTTAGCAAAACAAAGCTCCCAGGTAGATGGTTTTTCATATGAAATCAGAGTATTTCTGGGGCACCTGGGTGGCTCAGTCGTTAAGCGTCTGCCTTTGGCTCAGGTCATGATCCCAGGGTCCTGGGATCGAGCCCCACATCGGGCTCTCTGCTCGGTGGGAAGCCTGCTTCTCCCTCTCCCACTCCCCCTGCTTGTGTTCCCTCTCTTGCTGTGTCTCTCTCTGTCAGATAAATAAATAAAATCTTTAAAAAAAAATCAGTATTTCTGCTTTCTTTACCTCCTTCCTATCTCTATCCATTCTTTTTTCAAAACTTTCAATAGGATCATCACTATTCACTTTAGAGAAGATAGCATGTTACCAAAAACAAAAAAAAACACAAATCAAAAACCATACAGGTGTCTTTCCAGGTCGTGAAAAGCTGGGCTGTCCACTTGAAGCTGATAGGACAAACACTCCAGACCCTAGTTATTCAATCCTTCAGTGAGCGGGTATTAAGTACCTACTATCTACCTGGAATTATGGTAGGGGCTGGGGACTCACAGGTACCTAAGACCCATGGCTTGTCCTACTTCATGGTCTAGAGGGTTAGACAGATACTTGAATAATGATGACACAGGGTGTCAAATGCTATAACAGGGATTGGCATGAAGTGGGAGCATGGGAGAGAAAATGATTAGTTGGCGGGGGAGGAGAGGTGAAGGAAGTGGGTTGGTGCCTGGGAAGGTGCTCAAGAGGAGTCATTTCAGGTGGGTCCTAAAACTAGGAGTTCAATTGGCACTAAAGGTGGGTGGGAGGGAGGTTAGTGAAGGTAAAGGAAATAGCATGAGCAATGGCAGAGATAGGGAATGAAAATGGCTGGAGCACTGGGCAGAACGGCGGATGGGCCTTTAAAGCTAAGATGCAGGAG